TAAACTATATATATATATATCAGTTAGACTGTTTTAATTCTAACGCAATAACAACAGACGTGTGGGTCTTACTACAAAGCAAAGATTGTAAGAAGGAAAAATATAAAATTATTTTGTGGTACTAATAGTATTACGTACAAATCACAAAAGTTTTTCATTTTAAATGCTGAATCATATTATTATTATTATGAACTAAATATAAAATTATGCTAAATTATTGAGCTTAAAACTACAAATTTAAATTCAAAGGAATATAAAAATCCTAAGTCTAATTCATGTAAAGACTTTGCACTTGCCACTCGGTAACTCTTAACCCTAATAATCGTGGATCAACTTCTTTCCTAACAAATATATCTATTTTGAGTTAATTTTTCAATATAATGATTAATATAAACAGATATACCATGCAGCATGACTTAAGCTACTATAAACGAAAAATAAAAGTCACGTATATCCCATGCAGTTTTTTCCAGAAGCAACTTTTCTAACGCTTATTGAAAAGCCCTATTGGCCAGTACTAAATACAACTTCTACATAAAATGGCAGTTACTCTAATAAGCACCACACACATTCATATTGTAAAATCCAGTGAACAACGTTTCATCACGTGCTTTCCTTATCATCCTATGATTTGTCAAATGGGAGATACAGCAATTGGAATAATTGGTACTGAAATTGACACTTTCGACTAGGATTGGCTAAAAGTTTTACAACTGAGGTTTAACACGCCCAGACGCAGTTTTATAAAGAAAACACACTAGAAAAAGGTTTAGATACCAATCATAGATGCCAGAACCAGTGCTGAGGTGAAAAAACTATCTTAAAAAATTTTTGAAAAAACATTTCTTCTTAGAGGGCGCTCGTTTACAGTCTAAAACGTATTTTAGGAATTTTTTCATTAAATTCCTCTTTAAACTTCATTAAAGAATACTATTTTGTACAAATAATTAAATGTTATGCTACTATTTATAAACATAAAATCAGAAATCCATTAAAAGATAAGTTCTTTATCATTTTTTCAATTCACAAATGCACACTTGCATTGCCTACTAAGAAAGTTAGTACCGGTAGTCATCAGGTTAAAAGTTCAAATACGACCAAGATTAATCACTACTTTTACAAGGATACTATGATTAAGATGACTTAAACTTCATTAAGAATATGAATTGGCATATTACAGCAACCTATTCACTATAGTTTTTACAGCTGGTGACTGGTTTTAAAATAAAAAAATATGTTTATGATTCTAATTCATCCTTATCTTAATTTTGTATTTAAATACAAAGTATTTGTGATTCTAATTAATCCTAATCTTGATTCTTGTAACATAAAGCTTTTCATTGATCTTATTAATAAATTATGTTTGTTTCTTTATTGAATTTCGGGCAAAGCTACTCGAGAACTATGTACGCTAGCGTTCCTAGTTTTGAAATGGTAAACTAGAAGAAAGCAAGCAGTTAGTCAACATCACCCACCATCAACTTGTGGACTACTCTGATCGAATTGTAGGATTTGCCCATCATTCTTCTAACGTATTCATGACCCGGATGTGTGGAGCGCAATTTTTGTTTTGTTTGGATTTTTGTAGCGGTAACGAACTCTCAATTTGATAGTTCCGTACGATAACCTCTGGGCCACTCTCGGCACCAATAGCTTCTGGCCAAAGTTAAATTACCAACATAGATCCATAACCCAGAACTAAAAATTAACCCAGTAAATAATGTTTTTGTTTGTTGATTTTTCGCTCAAAGCTGCCCGAGAGCTATTTGCGCTAGGCGTTCCTAATCTTGGAGGTGATAGACTAGAAGGAAAACAGCTAGTTAACACCACCACCGCCAACTAGTAGGATACTCTAATCGAATAATGGGGAAAAAACTAAATGTGGCAGGAATTTAGTTTGAAGGAAGAGAAAGCAACATTATATTTGCCTGCTTTTCTCAACTGGGGTGCTCGGGAACGATTGTTCCCCTTCAACCCCACACGTGAGAATAAGTTGCTGCAGTGATCGTAGACATTCGCAGGAATTTTTGAGAGACCAGTTCCGAACAAGGTTTTTGAGCATGATAATGTACCTGAACAATGTTTTTGAATACAATAAGGTACCTGAACAAGGTTTCTGAGTGAAATAATGGAATTTGTTCGTCATTCCTATAAGACACCAATAGACCCAAGGTGTAAAACGCGAGTTTGTATTATTATTATTTTTTCTACAGTAAGAGGGAACGAACCACAGAACCTAGGATTGACAGTCAGGCACTAGTAGATAGTATAACTGATTTAACATAACGGCCTAGGAATGACCCATGTCATAGAATAAAATCTTATAATGATTGGAATGCACTGGTTCATCATTTGGGTACTCTTTTTATTATTGACATTTCCGGCCTTAATCCAACCTATAATACGGAAATTTAGGTTAGCACTAAATCCCATAGATATCCTACACTACTAGGCCATGCACTGATTCTGTAATATGTCTGATTCATTGAAGGTAGTGACGTGTGCATCCGGTATCCCTTAAACCGTCTTAATCCAACCTATAGTACGAGGTTAGACAAGGTTAGGAAATTCAGGTTAACACTAAATCCCATAGACGTCCTATACTACTAGGATATATCCTAGGATGATTCCCTAATCTGTATGATTCACTGAAGGTAGTGACGTGTGCATCCCTCAATTTTGGTGCGATCAAAACATTAACATATCGATTATTCTCTCTGTGTATTTCCCATGCAAGCAAAATAACGAATTGTTTGGCTTACAGTTGTACAAATATTCAACAGGGAAAACATTTCACACACAAAAAAAGTTGTTTAGCAATATAATCTTGAAAAGTTTCAAACTTTAATACATGCATATATTAAATTCTTGTTTGTTTGTTAAATTTCGAGCTAAACTACTTGAGGGTTATCTACGCTTGCCATCCATAACTTAGACGTGATAGCCAAAATTTGGGCTACTCTTTGTTAACCAAAATTGGGAGTGACCATTACATTATAACGCAACGGATGAAAGGACTAGCATGTTCGGGGAGGGAACTCGAATCTGCGACTTGCAGATCATCATGAGTCGAGCGCTCTAACCATCAGGTTATGCCAGGCCTTATATCAAAGTCATTGAAAATATTAATGAAATTGACAACTGACATAATCCAAACTAAAATATTCCAAGTTCAATGTTTAAAGACTGAAATATAGAACTATTTAACAGTAGGACAGCGAAAAACAATCTCAATGAATTTCAAAGACTGGTGTTACGTATTACAATTTCGAAT